CATAGACTTATATGTTACTTAAAGTTGAATTAAAATTGATTGCAGTGTACTGCTATGTGAAAGATGAATTAATCTCTCTGTCTCTCTGTCTCTCTCTCTCTGTCTCTCTCTCTCTCTCTCTCTGTCTCTCTCTCTCTCCTTTCAAATTAAAATCCAAACAGATATCCTGATGTGCAGGCTCGGGTGCAGGCTGAATTGGACCAAGTTGTGGGGAGGGACCGCCTGCCCTGCATGGGTGACCAGCCCAATCTGCCTTATGTCATGGCTTTTCTGTATGAAACTATGAGATTCTCGAGTTTTCTGCCTGTCACCATTCCTCATGCCACCACTGCCAACACCTTTGTCTTGGGCTACTATATCCCCAAGAACACAGTAATTTTTGTTAACCAGTGGTCTGTGAATCACGACCCAGTGAAGTGGTCTAACCCAGAGGACTTTGATCCAGCCCGATTCCTGGACAAGGATGGCTTCATCAACAAGGAGCTGGCCAGCAGTGTGATGATTTTTTCAGTGGGCAAACGGAGGTGCATCGGTGAAGAGCTGTCTAAAATGCTGCTGTTTCTCTTCATCTCCATCCTGGCCCACCAGTGCAATTTCAAGGCTAACCAAAAGGAGCCCTCCAGTATGAGTTTGAGTTATGGCCTGTCCATTAAGCCCAAGTCATTTAAAATCCATGTGTCTCTCAGAGAGTCCATGGATCTCCTTGATAGTGCCGTTCAAAAGCTGCAAGCCGAGGAAGCTTGCCAGTGAGAGGTCAGAGGCAAGCCGAAAGCTCAGAAGTGTTCTAGTCTTACCTACTGGGGAGAAAATTCATTTCTTTTCTAGCTCCTTTTTGGGGTCACTTCTCTAAGGTGAACATAAAACAAGAAGCCTGCCTGTGAGGCATGCTTACGGCTGAATGGCTCCTCACCAGCCCTGGGCTGTGCTGGAGTTTCTAGAAGAATTTTTTAAAGAGTTAAGGGGCCCAAGGAATTTTTTTCATATACTGGAAGCTGGAAGTAATTATTTCTTAAGGGGTGCATTTTTTTTTTTTAACAATTAAGCACATGTGCACAGTACCCACACACAGGCACAACTATTCACAACTATTCCTCAACTATGCCTTTTTAGGAAGATCCAAGGCTGGACTTTTATACGCAGAAATCTACTCCACAGAAAGCTGCATTTAGCAAAGTCTTAGGATGCATTCACGATGCAATGAAAAGTAATTTCACTGTACATTGTAAAGACCAGAAATTCCCCACCAAAAATACGCTGTTTGGTAAATACCTTAACTCTGTTGTAGTAGCGCTGGGTGGAGTTTTCTTTTTGCCCGTGGATGTGCCTCTCTACTAAGAGATGAATCATAAAGTCAGTTGCTCAAAATGAAATTAGTAATTGAATTAACAATTACAGTGGATTTCAGAGACTTATGGATCTAAAGGTAAATTACTCAAAATTGCAAAATATTACAAACTAAAGTTGTACCTCATTTGATGGTTAAAGTGAAGTATTTCAATTTTGAGAGAAAAAAGGATTTGCTAGTCCAGCTAAACTTTCAATTATGCAATTTTAATAAACTGATCTCATTAATAAGTGTATAAAATAAAATAAAACCTCATATCACCAAATAGTGTTCAATACATATACATGATACATAATTATTTATAAGAAGTATATTAATATGAATTTTATAACCAGTGTATTAATATGAATTGCTTTTAATAGGAAAATGATTCACTATATGTCTTATATAATACTGCAAGTAAAAAAAACTATATCCAGTTCAATGAATTGTGTCTAAATCTACGAAATGAGCCTGATGAAATCAAGCACCTGTTTTGACATCTTTGGAATTAAGTCAAAATAAGATCTTTTCTTATTCAATGAACCAGACAATTCTTTTTCAGACAATGAACCAATCTGAGATCAGGAAAATGTGCTCTTACTTTGTAACTATATTCATAATACAGACTCTCTGGTTGAAATTGACCCTATTGATATGTTAAAATTCCAAACTCCTGGCATGCTTAAATTTTAATTTAATTTAACATCCGTCTTGATAACTGCCTTTCAGCTAAAGCCAGTAGAAATTTGATCTTTACTCTGTAAAGGATGAGATATCTAACCTTTGTCTGGGACAAATAGTGAACAAAAATACCATTAATTTTCTGGATGTTCTTTTTAGTAGACCATAATGATTTTTTTTTTTTTTTTTTAAAATCAGAATCAGAAGATTCTTTTGGGAGGCTGTTTAAGAACCACACTATGAGACAGCAGAAGTAGTTAAGATTAACCACTGTGGCACTGTGAGCAGTTACTCTAGTAGCTGAAAGGATTTTGTAAACAGCTTGGAAACCTTTTAAGAAGTGAGGGAGGAGTGCAAAAGTAAGAAGAGGGGTTTCCTGTTTCTGTTTTCATTGCGAGGAGACTTCCAAAGGAAGCTCAGCAGTGCCTAGAGAGCTTGCTGCTCTATTTCCTTTAGCTTTCTGAAATCTTTGTGTCAAAATTACAAAGGAAGGAGTTTATGATGTGTTTGTGTGGATGCAGCCAGAGGTCACAGAAAAGAGAAAGAGTAAGAAGGAAGAAAGATGTCTAGATGTTTCCCATTTGTTTCAAATTAATTTACTGAAGTACAAAAATTGAAGCACGTTTAGAAAAAAGATGTTTCGTGTGCTAGCCTTAAATCTTAAGCATCTGAGGTAGCTCTTTCTCTGTCTCTGTCAGTCTCTGTCTCTGTCTGTCTGTCTCTCTCACGCTCTCTCTCTGGCACATCTGCTTTGTAGTTTGGGTTTGAATTAATAAAAATTTAATGTAGTTGAAATTTTTTAAAAATGTTATAATTGAATCTCTTGAATGTGAAAAATGGTTTGTGTCAGTATCTTCAGTCTTAATTTCAACTGTAAAAATTAAGCTTATCCAATATTTTAAAATCTTTTAGACACTGTCTACTTTAAAACATATACCCCAGTAGTACTGGCAGTGATTTGGGCTCCTGTGGCTTATTTAGCAAAAGTCATCATTTACCAATTTGGATCCCTCATTAAGTCAACCAGTTCCAGATGGGCTCAAATGTGAATACCCCATTCATCTGATGCTTACAGCAAAAAGGAAAGGACAGTGGATATTTAGAGGTTACCAGGTTTGTTGAATATGCTTAGAATCTAGTGAAAAGAAAGACAATAAACCAAAAAGGAACAAAAATAACCAAATTTGGAGGCTATACTAAGGCTTAATCAGAAGAATGATTTTATTTCTGCTACAGACTACATTTGCTGATCAGCACGTAAGTCAGAACTTAATTCAGGTTATTGCAGCAAAAACTGTGTTTTTATTAAATGCCTCACATATTGAAGCTTAAGAGTGTTTCAGAAAACTGCTTTTATTTTTCAAAACAAGAAGATGCCTCAGGTGTGTTTTGTGGATTATCCAAAGCTTTCACTTCCCAGAACTTAGCCTTTATCTGTGAAATGTTACCACACCCTTAGTGTTCCCACACTAGATCTGTATTAGATCATATAGGTACAGTGCAGTATATATTAATTAATACATTTTTAGCTTTGGCCCACCTGTGTGATAAAAGGTATACTTTGGCACATCAGTTTAACTCAAGAATAACTTCTCAGTTAACCTTTTCTTGTTTTTGTATTTTATCATGTATGTTCTTAGATGTATATAGCTGCTATAGTACACAGTTGTAACCAAAATAGATCTTAGGTGCACAACATTAATATGTAGCTTTTACTTTTTGATATATTAAAATGAAAAAATTGTGTCAGTAATTATCTGGAATGAAACACCATTACCAAAACAATAAAAATCACTTTCATAGTCCTATGACATTTCATTTTATGTTACGGTAATAGTCAGTCAGTTCATTTATTTCTATTATTGCTCTGTACCCTTGTGTTTGAACACTGTGGCGTATGATCTGTGTATGCTTCCTACATGTGTTGATTCGTTTTCGTGCCATCGTGTGAGAGGTGTCTCCCTTGAACTTTGTTATGCACCAGCACGTTCCCCATCTCACATGAAAAAAACTGGAATCATGAAACTTTGTTTGACCACCCCATATGTTAGTCTATTGCACCTTCTATTTTTTTCAATATTTTTTTCTTCAATAGCTTTTCAGTATCCAGTTTTCTAGCAAATCCCTGGTCTTTATGTTTTTGAATTTATAAAGACCAAGGAGTTAAATTTTATTAGCCATCAGCCAAGCAAAATAGGAATTAACTTGCAATTTTGAAAGGTTTGGTTGAGATCTTAAGATGCTCACATGATATTTATACTTCATCTGAAAACTGAAGGGCACATTTATCCCCTCAGCAGCATGCTAATCCTTTCTTTGCACACATCATACATTCATTTTTAAGATGCATATGCCTTAATTAGTAAGTGCAACTGATGTCCAATAATACACTGCTGGAAACATTTTTCTGTTGAGCTTTCTATTTGGTAAGTGACATGGTATCCAGGACCCATGTCCAGGCCTTGCCTGCTCCACACTTGCAGATGAGATGGTAGGGCTGTGCACTGCCAGAGACTGTTATTTCTTCTAGACCACAGCTCCTGTTACTGTGAAAACAGGAAAAGGAGTAGTAAAATAAAAATGGTACTGTATGTCATTTGTACTTTTGGCTGGGAACATGAGGTTAGTGGCCAAAAGGGATGGCTATGAGTTGGTTTTAAAAAATACTCACTTTTTCCTCTACTTATTCTACAAAAAGATCTTGGAAATGATCATATCAATTGAGGACAAGTGAAGGAATATTTTCTTGACAAAAATTTAAAATCTCATTGGGGTCAGGATTTTTGCAAAGGTGTTAAACAAGGGTTGCAGTAAATTTAATCTAATAGAGTGAAAGCTGGATACAGGAGGGCAATGAAGGCAGCTTGGATGCTCACAGAAAGCTTGCAAAGGTTATGCCCAGCCCTCAATGCCAATCCCTTTCTGAACAAGTGTTATAGAGACAAACTGGCTTTTGGTGCTCTCGTATTCTGGCTCAGTGAACCTCAACGTTCAGACTTAAAAACAACTTTTTAAGCTTGCTGTGCAAAGCATTAGGCTTTGACTTTGGATCCCCAGTACCTACATAAAAACCAGTACCCACTTGCAACCTGGGTGCTTGAGACAGGCAAAACCCTGGAAGGTCACCGGTCAGCCATTGTAGCTGAAATAGCAAACACTGGATTCAGTGAGAGACTCTGTCTCAAAGCCTGAGGTGCAGAAGTTATTGAGGACATCCCAATGTTGCCCTCTGGCCTCCACACATGCCCTCATGGCTGAATATACACATTCATGTACACACACACACATGCACAAAAGCATGCATGCATGCACACACACATACACATACACATCTATTTTGAATAGATATGGGCATTCTGTTGGTTACAGGTTATGGTTTTAGCCCCTTTATCTGCTAAGCCAGGTATAAGCTTTCAAGAGAAGTGCTCTTCATTACTACTTTTCAGCAAGTGTCACATAAAAGGGGAAGAAATGGAAGATACGTTAATCACTTAAAATTTTTGAATCATTGTACTAAAATACCCCCCCTTTTTTTTTGTCTTTTTGTGACAGGGTTTCCCTGTAGGCCCAGCAGACCTGGAACTCTCCATGTAGGTAGACCAGGCTGGCCTTGAACTCACAGAGATTTGCCTGCCTCTGCCTCCTGAGTGCTGGGATTAAAGGCATGTATCACCACGCCCTGCCTAAAATACACTCTTTAAAACATTCTAGCATAGCACTCTTATGAACAAGGCAGTAATATACCAAAATAGTTTAGAAGCATCTGCATCTGGCCTTCCCCTGAACAGATGGATGTCCTTGCCTTGGTACCATATCTTGGCTCTTCCCAACTGCCCTGCACTTAGAAACAGAAGGCAGTTTGTCTAGTTTTTGAGGCCTGTGTCCCTCAGTAGTTTCACAAGCAATAATTTCCTTCTATTGTCTGGGGGCACATTTCACATTGTGTCAGAGAGCAGCTGACATGGCCAGGCATCAGAAGACTCTCAACACTGCCCTCTCCTGAGAAAATGATTCCTGGAGCTGTTCTTTGTGGGAAGGGGGAAGCCATGACTTGTCTTATATGTAATACTCTAAAATCTCTGCCTTTGAGCATGCAGGGACCAGGGATCCTGAGGCAAAGGCTGTCTGTCCATAGGCTGGTCCTGTCCCAGGGCAGGATGTGAAAAGAGAACTCTGTCCATTCCATAGGGTGTGGCCGGGCCCATCACCAATTTGAACCTTCTGAACCCTTTTCCTTCTTCCTCTTAGAGCTCTCTTAGGCTGATCTGGATTAGTTGCAATCTCTTTCAGTGGAAAGAGTCTGCTGCATATAACATGAGCAACACACAGTGTTACAAAAGAAACCTAACATCTACTGGGGTGCTTTGGGGACAGAGCTGAGAATGACTGCGCAAGCCTGAAAAAAAAATTAGCCTGTTTTTGCTTTTAATTCTCCTCTCCCTCCCCTTTACCATGTACCTAGTATTTAAGAAATGTTATACCTGTCTCATCTTGTGGCTTAATCCCAATGACATTGTAAAGAACATCCTTATGTGTGCTCCGTCATAGACCCCTGTAAGATTTGCAATCCTTGCCATGCCCATGGAAACATAACTGAAGTAATGCAAGTATGTTTTCCATAATGCCAAACGAGTCCACACTCCCACTAACTGTGAGTGAAGGTTCTCCTGCACCTACCTGCCCACCCGCATTGACCTTTGCGTTTTAGATTAAATATATCCTTTTGGGAGAGGTAACATATTAAATTGATCTTATCTAGTCAGGAATAAAAAGATACCATTGTTTATTTTTCAATACTTCCTGTAGCTGTATTTGTGTTTCTATCATATCTCTTCTTATTAGATGGTATGCAATCATTGGAGAGCACGTGCTGGTCTCACAAATTTTGTTAATAAATGATATTGTACAGAGTGAAGAAGCAAGTGAGTTCTGATGAACCTGATTCTTGGTATTCATATCACCATCTTCCTCTGACTTGATTTTTCATTTTTACATTTACTTAATTATAATTTACGTGTGTGTGTGTGTGAAAACATACAGGCCATGGTGGGTATGTGTAGGTCAGAGGACAATTTGATGGAGTTAGTTCTTTCCTTCTATCATTTGGGTCCCAGAGATTGAACTCAAGTTGTCAGGCTTGGCAGCAAGAGCCTTTATCCACTAAGCCATCTTCCAGTCCTCACTCCCCTAATTTGACTTTAAATTAGTACCTGTGTTACTCAGATTCCCTTCACTGCTACAAAATAACCAGAGAAAAATCAACTTAAAAAAGGAAAGATTTATTTTGGTTCACAGTTTTTAAAAAATATTTTATTATTTTTATTTTATGTGTATGAGCATATTGCCTGAAGGTATGTTAAATGCATCTGTGTCATGCAGTGCCCACAGATGTCAGAAGAGGGTGTCGGATTCTCTGGAACTAGAGTTAGGATGATTGTTTGCTGCCATGTGGGTGCTGGAAATTGAACCTGGTCCTCTGCAAGAACAGCCAGTGCTCTTAACCACTGAGCCATATCAGCCCCTTGGCTCACAGTTTTTGAGACATCATTCCATGGTTGGTTGGTCCGTGGTGTTGAGCCTGAGAGGTGAAGCAACAATCATGACAGGGCAATATGGTACAGCTGGGACACAAAGCAAGCAAGGGGCCAGGGACCTAATACTTCCTTCAATGGCACCCCCCACCCAGATGACAACTTCCTTCTGCTAGGCCCCACCTCTAAATGTGGCATCATTCTAAATATCCCCCATAGGATGTCAGCCAAGCCTTTAGTTCATGGGCTTTGGGGAGACAATCCAGATCCAAACAATGGCAGTAAAATTAGGTCGAATGTCAGTTTCTTTTCTCTGCTACAGTATTGTAGTTATTCAAAATTTTTAGGTTTCTGCTAGTTTCCTACAAAGCAAGCAGAAATGCAAACCCTTAGGCTTCCATCCCTCAGACAATGGCTTTAAAATGTGTAATGTGTGTTTATCATAACTCACAATATGAAAGATATTTTACCTTAAGACTTAGTAACTATCTATGTATGTGACTGTGTGTGCTCATGTGCATTTAAGTATGTATGCATGTGCCAGAAGCACTCATCATTTTTTTTAGGGGGGGTAATTTATTTTAAGATCTATTTTATTAATTTTCATTAGAAATGTGCAATTATGACACAGGATTTCAAATCTACTCAGGCTAAATTTATTTTTTTAAAAAGCAAACAAAGTACTAAGTGCTGGAGAGTATGTGAAGCTACTAGAATGTCCATACAGACAGAGGAGAATGCAGAACGGTTTGCTATGACCCAACTCCTAGACATTTAACCTAGATTACTGAAATACAGTCACATAAAAACTATACGAAAACGTCTAGCAGCTTTATTCATAAGCACCTAAAGCGGAAACAACTTACATTTCCTTCAAAGGATGATTAGCTAAAGAGAATGTGGTACATCCACATAACAGAATACTACTCAGCAATAAAAGGATTGCGCTACGTACAAACACAGAAATATGAATCAATGTCAAGGGAGTTAATGTTGGCTAAAAGAAGTTAACCTCACAATGCTACGTTCTGCGTGATTCCATTTGCAGACCAGTTCTAAGAGGTAACAGTTTAATGGTGAAGAACAGGTCAAAGGATATCAAAGGTGAGAGTAGATGAAGGGTGTGACTGCAGTGGGAGAATGACAGGTTTGGGTTCCTGATTATGGAAACGGTTACATGGTTGTATAACTGTATGAGACATAATAAAATTACAGCAAAAAAAGTGGCTAAAACTTGAAAAAAAATTAAAAGATATTTGGGTAAAATGAGCTGCATGGAGCTGAATTGAGGTTGTCTGAGAGCACAGCAGCTGGTTCAGCTTAGGCAAGACAAAGGCCCTGAAGAAAAGCCCAGGTGTTGTTGTAAGGGTCACAGCAGCCTGTACTGACATCCTCTTTGGCTTGGACTGTGGAGGTGGTACCAGATTCTCCAAGCACAGCAGGCAGTGAATCACTAGCCTTTGGGACGAGC